TGGACAAAAACCTGCTGGCTTTCTTCAGTTACACCTGACCTCTAAGGCTGGTGCTGGAAGGAGATGGTCTACCTGGGGAGGCCCCTGACCTTAGGCCCTCATTTCTACTCACTGAGATTCATTTCCCCGTCTGGGTTTGCTCACCAGTCACCCATCCCCACCAAGCGTACGAAGATGATCAGCTGCTTCCCAAGTGTTAACACCCCTTAGCTGATGACCTCAAGGAACCTGAATGTGGTTTTGTTAAGGGAACCAGTAGGTTTTCTTTCAGGTGCCCAGGGTCTATTTCATGCCACTGCTGAATGGGCATCCATGGATAACTCAGGACAATCATTCATGGAGTCTCCCCACCCACTGGATATTCTAAGTTCAAAGGAGCAGACTTCACTAGCCAACCAAGTAATTCTCTGAGCAAAGATAATTCTAGAAACTAGTTATATGTAACATATGATTCCTACTGCATAATGGATTCTAAACATTCATATACAGTGAAATGGACTAAGTCAAGTGTGAAGTGTAACATATGAACTGATTTTCCATTAAAGGACTCAGGCAGAACTGCAAGGAAAACAGATTTATGCTGGGGAAGCAGCATCCCTCCTAGAAGGTAAAAAGCAAGTGCACTCTCTGACAAAAAAAAAAGGTTTTATGCTTCAAATCTCCAGGGCTAAAATAAAGGCCAAATCTCAAATTTCACATTTCAAGTTTATGAAGGAGAAAAAAATACTAGAGGTATTCTCTAAAAATAGGCATCTTTTCTTCTTTCCTTCCCTAATGAAATTTTACTAAGCATCCCATCAATCATTCTGGGCCCTAGATACTACAAATCTAGAAGCTGACATTAATACAGCCTACCCATGGAAGGAGATGCCAGCATATCTGAGGGTCATACCACTCGTTATAGCCCAGAGGCTAGGAAAGAAGGCCCTGGGGTCAAGATCTATATTCAAGTCCTGGTGCTGCCATTTACTACTTGTGTAACTGTTAAGTTACACAAGTAACTTTAAGTCTACCTTTCTTTGCCTTAGTCTGTTCACCTTTAAAATGGGAATAATAAGCCAGGTATGGTGGTGTGTGCCTGTTGTCCCAGCTACTCATGAGGCTGAGGTGGGAGAATCATTTGAGCCCAGGAGTTCAAGGCCAGCCTGGGCAAACATAGCAAGACCCTGTCTCTAAAAAATTTTTTCAAGTAAATAAGTAAATAACAAATTAACTCATTAATTTAAAAATGAAGATAATGAACAATCTAAACATCTATCAACAGGTGAATGCACTATGGTATGTCCATACAATGGAATACTATTTGGCAATAAAAATGAGCAGGCTAATGATACACGCAACAACCTGGATGAATCTCAAAATTATTATACTGAGTGAAAAAGGTCATCCACAAAAGAGTACATACTTATGCTTCTATTTACATAAAATTCTAGAAAATGCCAACTACTCTAGAGTACAAACACCACATCAGTAGTTGCCTGAGGCTGGGACAGAGGAGGGATGCTCTGGAAGAAGCAAGAAGGGACTTTTGGGGGTGATGGAAATGTTCTGTATATGCTCGTGGCGGTGGTTTTGTGGGGTGTATACATCTGTCAAAACTCAAATTGTGCACTTTAAATTGGATACAGTTTATTGCATATAAACCAGACCTCAATAAATTTGATTTTAAGAAACTTTCCCATTGATCTGAGAATTAAATGAGAAAAAATGTATCTGGCACGTGGTAAGTGTTTGGTAATAAATGATGATGACAGTGATGCTGGTAGACACTGGAGCATGAGAGCAGAATGTCCTCCTGGGAGTCGAAAGACCAGAGTTTCTCTCGGAGCCCTGCTACTCTGAATAATAATCTCCAAGGCTCAATTTCTTAATGTGTCGAATAACAGGTTTGGACAAGATGGCCCACAGAGCTCCTTAAAGTTGCAACAATCCAATGTTAAAGTGATGATCACGAAGGCAGCCACTACAAGCTTCTAATTATAGGCATTTATAATGCCTGCAAAACCAGTTACTCTGTGAAATGTAGCATTTCTACATGGAAAAAAGTAGAGAAAGTAGCATTTCAGAAGTCCTTTGAAGGGAGCTGGCAAGAGGTTCAAGGGAGGGTGGGGAAAAGCCTGGAGAAGAATACAAGTTGAGTGAACCTCTACAGATCATGAATTTAATTGTTTTCTTATGTTTCCATTTGGAAGTTTCTGCCAAAGAACTCAAAGTCTTTTTTCCTGAATTTAATTTTTTTTTTCTTTAAATTCCAGTTTTTTTGTTGTTTTGATTAATTCCATTCCTTAACCAGTTGGGGGGCGAAGGTTTTCAAAAAAGACTCACTGCAGGAAACAACTTGCCCTACACTCACTCCTACGCACCTTTAGACTGGCCAGATCCTCACGCTACAAACTACCTGCCTTCATCCCCAGTCTCCCTCATCCTGATTCAAATCAGAGGCTCCAGAATCGTTGCTCTAGCATCACAATTTCCATGTACACTGCTCCTTAACCATCTACCAGCTCTGTTAATGTCCAGCAGAGACTCTGACCCTGAGTTCTTAGGCACATACTCCTGGCTGGTCACCTTGCTGTACTGTGCAACCAATGGCTGAAGCAACAGTCTGTGAGGACAGGCAGATCAAAAGTGTGGCTAGCAGCCACGAACCTCTGAGCTGCCAGTTTGGCACTGGCAGAAAACATTCTAGGTACATGTCTGGGAAAATAGACTTTGGGAATAGAAATATAAGATGCCATATTTAATACAGTCATTGGAACCATTAGTGGGTGGAGAAGTCTGGCAGCTAAAAGGAGTTTACTGGGTTGAGCTAAGGAGGAGTATTTGGCAAGAAGAGATACTGAAAAGCAAGGAAAAATACTGGAAAATGATGAGTGTGCTCATAGGCTATTACCAAAACCTTAGAGTGTGGACAGGTTTTCTGATCTCTATGACTGCTCTTCCACCTTAGAAATCTTCCAGAATGAGATGAGGCAGAAGAATTTTTTTCACATAACTCTCACTCTCTCTAGCTGGTCCTCAGTCTTGGCTTTAGAGGCATGATGGCAGTGTTGTCAAATAGTCGCCTAGTGAGCTTACTTAAATTATTGCAGACCTCTAGGCCCCAGTTCCATCTTCTGATTTGTGAATGTCTTGGGAATCTGTATTTTAACCACCACCCCGGAATATTTCATAAATGTCCTTTTTGACTCTCTCCCCAATTCTGTGATTACCAGGTAATTATCTAAGTTTCATAGACTGAATCTTCTCTCTGTATGTAGTAACATACGAAGGGGTTGAAAGAAGGCTGTGGGACTCCACGTCAAGCCATGAGCACAGAACTGGTACTAGACTTGCCCTCCCACATTAAACAACTAGAAAATGGGGGGGGGAGGGGGGATTTTTAATATCACTGTTTTCAGAAGTTGGACAATAGGGAGCGCAAGACTGTGATTCCTGAGAGAAGGGAAACAGATGAAGTGAGCCCCAGGTCACCCTAGTTTTCTGCCTAGAGGTACTTCCTGGACTCTGGCACAGCAATGGGAAACCCCAAAATGGAGCATGGAGGTCTCACTGAGTTGAGGAGAGACAGACTGAAGTTTAGGATGGCTTAGGTCACTGGAATTTGAGGAACAGAGACTGAAAGACTGGGAAGCTACGCAGAGGAACAGCTTCAAAAGTCTAGACTGCCGGAATACTAAGTTGTGTCTCAGCAGGGTGAAACTCCACAAGGCTGGGCAAAGAATGACCATCAAGAAGGTATGAGCTGAATGATCCCCAGAGCTTATACAGAACTAGAGGCAGCTCAGCTCTACCCAGCCAGAGTGGAGAGATCTGATAAAGGAAAAGAAATCTGAAAAGCAGCTGGAGGGGAAAAGACATATTACATACAGGGAACATACGGGAACAAAGGTAAGAATAACTACTGACTTCTCATCAGAAATAATGTAGGCCAGAAGATAATGAAACTGTTTTAAGTGCTAAAAGAAAAAAATATTGTCAACCTAAAATTGTACATCTTGTGAAAAATGAGGACATCTTCAGACAAATATGGCAGAGAGAATTTGTTGCCAGAGGACCTGCTCTACAAAAAAGGATAAAGTTCTTCAGGCTGAAGAAAACTAATACCAGACAGTAACTAGAATCTACACAAAGAAATCAGGAGTGTGGAAATGATGAATATGTGAGTTAAAAAAAGCTTTAGTAATTTAGGTGCCAAGCATAATCTCTCCCTAGTGGGTTTCATTTTAGAGATACATATAAACCTCATCTTTTGTTCTTGAGTTTTGAACACAGGCCTCCACTAGGCCACGGCTGCCTGCCTCGTTAGTCCTGTTTCCCCTTCAGTTGTACAGTCAACCGGGAACTGACTACTCTGCGAAGTGCACTAGAGATAAATAAGACAAGGTGTCTGCCCATAGGAGCTTAGAGCCTGGTGGGAAAAACAGTCAAGCCCACAAAGAGTTAAGGTGTGATATGTGCTACTTGTACCCAAATCCTGGCTCTGGTCACTCAGTAGATCTGCGACCTTGGGAACCGACTTAACCTCTCTGTGTCTTAGTTTCCACAACTATAAAATGGGGACTGTGGTGAGAGTAAATGCTTTAACTTACATAAACTGGTAAAACAGTTCCTGGTATAGAAACACCTGATAAGCATTAGCTATGCTGCTGTTATTACAATGGAGGTTTGCTGAGGAGTGTGTAAAGAGCACAGAGAAAGAACCTGAGTCAGAGAGGGAGTAGGATGGAAAGGGAGGGCACTTCAGAGGAGGTGGTACTTCAGCTGAGTTTTGAGGGACAAGCAGGGTTAGTGGATAAGGAAGTGGGAGAGATGCTCCAGGCAGAGGCAGCAGCAGTTAGCAAGGCATGGATATGTGAATCAGCACGTGTGATGAGACCACCGCAAATGTTTACAGCGAGGCTACAGTACACAGTGCCTTCGCTGTAGCCCAAGAAACACTGTGGGTGCTCTGGGGACTCCATGAGAAGCCCCTTTGACTTCCTCCAAGGGACTCTTACCTCCTCCATCATCTGATCCATCCAGGGTCTGCTGTCTGAGGCGATAACTGCCCCCCAAAAAAGAAGAAGAGAGTAGAAAATGAGTTTCAATCACAGAAAGGAACAACTCAAATTTACATTGTGTCCATTCTTTCTCCAAGATGAAAATGTCCCTGGACCTCCATCAACTTGATCAAACCTAACTGGGCGACTGGGTCTGTCATGTGTGGTTGTACCATCACACAGAGTATGATATAAATGCTCCCTCTGCCGCTGGCTCTGCCTGTGCAGCCACCTTTACCTAGAAACTGCCTTTGCCTTTTTTGGATAAGTCTTAGGAGAAGGCTAGGCTTAGGAAGCTAGTGTTGTATCTTTACCAATAGAGCAGAAGGCATGGGTCAGTACCCTGATACCTGGACATACGATTCTATGAACCACAAGGTGGGAGGGATGATATGGCCATTAATGCCAGAGTCCAGACCTTCAGCTGAGGAAGCAGCATTAACCAAACTCTTGATTCAGCCAACATAATTCCAGCCCCAGACCACAGCCAAAATACTGCCTTATTTTTTAATGCTGTGTTCAAAATAGGCAAGATTGCACTGTTGACAAAGGTCACCATAGGATACCATAAGAATACTGGAAACATACTCTTCTATTTCTTCAGAAACCTTCCTTCCTAACCTGAAAAAAAGAAAAGACAAGGTTTATGACAGCCTACTAGTCTCATGCTCTGGGGAAGTATCTTGGGGAAGGGTTTCAAAAGTGGGGCAAATTAGTACATCTCAAGTGCTTTATTCCTCTGAATTCCTCTTTATGGAATTCAGAGGAATACAACCAGCAAGAGAGAATGACAGACACTATACTGCCTTCTTATAGTCTTATTTCAGCATAACTCCAAATTAAACGGTTGAGTGTAAGTGCAGGTTGAGTGGGAAGGTTAAAATTCAAGTGGATGCAGATGATATGGTGCCCTTCTTTCCTTCAACCATTAACTGACCCATTTACAGAGCACTTTCTTATGACTGAGGCCCTGGGTCTTATTTGGTGCTGTGAGTTGTCAGCATGCGTAGCTTCCCAGGAGCCAAGGGGATGCCCTGGGCACACAGTTCACCCTGCAGGCTCAGGAACTGTTTTGCTGTGTCCTCCACATGAAGGACCAGAAGCCCTTATGAGTGACGTGGAGCAAGTGGCACCCCTTAAGACATTCCATGAGAACACAAAGCGTGGCTGTCACACACATTTATCTAAGGCAGAGGTTCTCGCACGTTAGTGTGCAGAAGAACCATCCGGGCAGCCTGTTAGACCTATAGACTGGCGGGCCTGGCAGTTGGAGATTTCTGAATCAGCTGGTCTGGGGGAGGAGGACGCCAGGAATGTACATTTTAAAACACTAATCTAAGCAGGTCACTACTGACATTGGCAAGACGATGATTAGTAAAGTTGGGTATATGGTGATTACATTTCTGTATGTCTGAAAATTTCCACAATAACACAGTTGCTGTTTACTTTAAATGAATTGTTTTAAGTCAGAAATCTAGCACATGATGAGCGAGGGCAAAGCATGGTGGCAAAGCATGGTGGCAACGTCACGATGGCCCGGAGGCAGGATGCATGTGAAGACCCTTGAGGGTGTGGGCCCACCAACCTCCCAATAAGAGCTGCATTGGAGCCAACAAGCCATTCCTGCAAAATGCAAATAACTCCCCTCAAGAGTATAATCACATATTTTTTGTCAATTAAAAATATCAATTAAAAAATAATTTAAAAAATTAAGCCCATTTAAATAGACTGTTTTCCACAAAATTTACTCTATCAACTGTACTATTTTAAAAGAGAAAGCAAGCCAGGCATGTGGCATACATCTATAATCCCAGCTACCTGGGAAGCTAAGGCAGGAGGATCCCTTGAGCCCAGGAGTTTGAGTCCAGCCTGGGCAATGTAGCAAGACCCCATCTCTCTTTAAAAAAAAAAAAAAAAGATAGCTGAAGTGAGAAGGGAGAAGAGGATGGGTAGGTCCAGCTGGATGGATAGGATATAACATCTTTGAGGGAATCTCCCAGGCTACAGTTTTTGACCCTTAAAGGACAGAGTAAGGAGACTGAGCAACTGGAGGGAGGATGGCGGGGGACAGAAGGGCAGTGAGAGGTACCAAAGGAAACTGCAGCAGGGTGCCCAGGGCATCCCCACTGTGGTGCTGCCAGATGCTGTGGGTTCCAATACCTGTCTCAGGCAAAGGAATCCTAAAGGAAGAGCACCCAGCAGCCACCAAAGCCACCTTCCTTCTGTGGGAGGACACATGCTATTTTCCCAGCTCATGCCATTCCCCAGGACCACTGCCCCTAACTGTCTCTATACCCGCACTGTCCAAGTGACGCAGCTAATACGTCACCAGTGGTAGAAGTGCTTGGATGAAGAATAACGAGATTGAAGAGAAGGCAAGCACCTTCCTTGTGTACGTCAGAGACATATTCATCTCTGGTTACTCTCAGGAGCTATGACCAAATTGTTCCTTTCCTATGCAACGTGCCGTGGCAAAAGCAGCAGCAATTTTGTCTGAAGGAAACCATAATGATCTCTTCAAGGGGAGGCTGATTAATTGCCACTTACCCACTCAACATGCAAAAGGAGAGTGAGTTTAATATTCAGCATCATTGGGGCTGAGCCCACATCCTGTTCTCTCTCACTCTAGAGGGAGCCCAAGGACTCTCCCCATGCTCATTTCTCTCCACCGAGGAAGCAGAAAGATAAGAATGGAGTCCTCAAGGACAGGCAGCAGAGAGGCCTTCAGGTGGCATGTTCTCTCTCTCTCCTGGAAACAGAAAGTCTGGTGGGAGGGAGTGCCCTGCCTCTGACCTGGGTCACTGATATAACACTGCCCATTACTGGGCCTTATCCAGCCTGCAGATGTATTTGGTCTGGACCATGCTGCTGTTTATTTATTTTTTGTTTTGGTCCGTTTTAATGTGAATTCGTTGCCAAAATTGAGAGATTTTGTACAAAAATCCAGATTTCTGGGTTCTTTCATAAAAAACTTGGCAACACTAGCCCTGGACTGGACGAACCTGAGCTCTGGCCCCCCACGGCTCCCTAACACCGGGTGGGCAGAACTGGTTCTTAATCACTGAATCTGTACTGCTGGGTTTCTTGGGAGTTGGAGGCAAGTGAATTATTTCCTATGCTAGTAATATGTAGCTACCAAACATGAGAAAGCAAAAGGAAAACCAGGTGGTAGGTGTGGTTTAGGAGAACAGACTAATATGCTAATATTATATAATATTATATAATATGCTAATATTTCTTTATACACACATGAATATGCACTAATATTTCTTTATAGACATGTGAATATACAAACAATTCATCTACATATAGCAGGAATATAATTTAAGGTGTCATTCTGAAATAAAAACCCACTTCACAGATCCACTTCACCTCGGGCTAGTACAGTGCCACAAGGCCCAGCTCAAGGACTCAGAATCTACCATAATGCTTTTCAAACTACAGGTCTGGCCCACTAGTGAGTCATGAAGTCAATTTAGCAGATCATCACCAGATTTTCTTTTTCTTTCTCTCTTTCTTCTTCTTCTTTTTAAATAGCATAGAACAGAAAAGAGTATACTGCAAATAGTAAGGGTAAATATTATATAACCTTTCTGTCTCCAGTTTTATATATATACACATACCCAGTCATGATGTACAGTACATTTTTAAATTATTGGTGACAGGTTAAAAACGAACAAACAAGCAAACAAACAAAACCCTCAAACACAGTGGTCCATCACATCCACCAGGGTAGGCAACCAGAGGAGGGTCTGGGGCTGAAGTCCTGCCTGCCACAGACTGTGGGGAGACGGAGGCTGGGGTAAAGAATTGTGGGCTCTGGGTCATCTCTTCCTCATAGACACATTTCTTTCCCAACTTCGGAGGAAACTGAGGTCATTGATATGACCTGTGTGACTTGGCCCCAGCCCCGGGCAGACTGCCTGCAGAGCTGAGGGTGGCACAGCCCTGGGCTGCCTGTCTATTATGGCACTCAAGGCCCATGAGCCTCCTTCCCCAGAAGTGGCCATGAGAGGGTCTGGGAACCTGACAATGACCATAATGATGTTAGTTAGACCGTCTGACACAGAGCACTTTTCACTTTTCAACATTCTTCAAAGACTCATATCTACTAACACTGTATCAGTTGAGCTTTGAAAAAGAGGGAAAGCTGGATTTAGTAGCACCATTTTATACACAGAGACAGACACTGAACACTGCAGTGGTATGCTCTGCCCAGATCACAGAGCTAGGCAGTGATGAGCCTGAAAATAAAATCTGTATCTCCTGACTTTTACCCTAGATTCCAAACACTTTGTCCCAATCTTCTTCAAAAGCAGATACTCACTAATTTTCTGATGTCCCCAGGGCACCCAGGTATTGTTTGGATTTACTAGGCAGAAGTCCCTTCTTGACTTTCCTTGATTATGGAAGACAACAGATAGTACAGACCAGGAGTGGGGAAACTTTTCATGTTCGAAGGCCACATTAATTTAGCTGTAATCAAATAAGGATGCATTCAAGAAACTTTAATTACACATACTTAAAAATGTAGATTATTTTGTAAAAATCTAACTATTATATACTTAATAATTTCAAAAATGAAAACTATTTGTTAATTTTAAAGTTAACTAACCTTTTAATGACCTTGTTGTATCTGTTTTTTGTTGGAAAGCATTTGAATAGTTCATTGCAGCATGGAGGTCTGCAGTTTCAGTTGATCCTCTACATGAGCATCAGTCATTTGTGGCCTTAAGGATGTCTGATTTCGGTTAGGTAGGAGAATGTAAATTCACAGCAATACATGGTTGAAAAGCAAGAAAGCATTTTTCGGGTATCTTGCTGAAGGCATGGGTATTCTACTGCATTTTTCCATACTTCAGTTGGATCTTTCTTAGCATCAAACAATGACTTTAAAATGTCATCTACTGAGAGTTCAATCAATTCCATCTGTAGTTCTTTAGGTGCTTTGGTGATATCAACTAGGTAGGCTGAAATGCTCATTTGAGTGTGATGTCGTGATTCTCAAAGTCAGTGAACCTTTCATTGTGTTGTCCAATTAATAGGTCTATAATAGCTGTGTATTCTTTAAATGATTTGCACATATCATCCTGCTCATCAATGACCTTTGCTAACTGGGGAAAATGTTCATCTGAAATTTCTTTTTGAAGAAGTATTTTGAGGAAAAAAAGCTTTTTTCAAAATGTTTGGATTTTTTGCCAGATATCATATATAGACTTAGTTTTACCTTGCAAAGAAATATTCAAGTTGTTTTGATTTGACGTATTACACAGAAATGCTGCATTCCTATAGAAATCTTCTTTCAATAATTCACATTGCTGATTCTGTTCTTCATAAAATTTAACTATCTGTTCTCACAGAGACAAAATTTTGGCTAACAGCTGTCCCTGAGATACACAACACACTTTAGAATAATATGGCAAATCCACACTGAATACTTCATCTTTCAACTTTAACATGTTAAGAACACTGAAGATGCCCTGCTGCTTTTGCATGAATATAGCTAATAATACTTATAACTTGTGTATAATGTTACTTAAAATAATACCTTTAGCACAGAGATTTTGCTGATGCAAGATAAAATGAGAAGAAATAAGAGCGTCTGGATCTGTTAATACTTT